CTCTGGGTATAAAGGCCATCCTACCAACATGGCCCTAAAGACTAAAACATAACATAGTTCATCAATCTGGTGGCAAAATGCACTGGATAGATTGCTATTCAGTAAAAAGGACTATTGTTACAGTCCCTGATAATGCATGCGGACTGTAACATCTAGTCCTTTTTACTGAATAGCAATCTATCCAGTGATCTTGACTTTTCTGATCTTGGTTGATTTTGCATTCTGCCTTAATGCTGAGTGAAATCGATCCCAGCAGGTGGCTGTCCCTCCCTGAGGGACGGCTGGTTCTGCCAGAAGTTTCTTCCTGTTAAAAGGGATTTTTTTTCCCTTCTCACTGTCGCCGAGTGCTTGCTCCAACGGTGTTCTTTTCATTGTTGGGGTTTTCTGTTTTCTTTGTATTATTGTGGGGACTGTACTTTACAATATAAAGTGCCTTGAGGCGACTGGTGTTGTGATTTGACACAAATAAAACTGGTTATTGAATTGAAATATCTCAAAAATCTCTATACCTTAAATATTTTGTATCACTTGTGGATGACTTTCACTTTGGTGATTACCCTCTTTCTTTTGCTAATCTAATAAGAAATCTAATCAGATTCTTGATAACCATGGTTCCATATTCATAAGCCAATCCATTACATACACCTGGTCAAGTAATTGTTAATGCAAATCTCTAACCAGCCAATCACAGAGCAGTAACACAGTAGATTTAGGCACTTAGACACAGTCAAGATGACATGCTGAAGTTCAAAACGTGTAACAGAATGGGGAAGAAAGATGATTCAAGCGACTTTGGACATGATGTGGTTTTTTGTCCCAGATGGGTTGGTCTGGGTATTTCAGAAACTGCTGATCTGCTGGGATTATCCCACACACCCATCTTTTATAGACAATAGTGTGAGAAAGAGAAAATATCCAGTGAATGGCAGTTCTCTGGGTGAAAAAACCTGCTTTGAGTTGATAAAGGCAACAGTAACTCAAATAACAACACGTTACAACTGAGGTATGTAGAAGAGCACTGCTGAACACACACTACTTCTAACCTTGAAGTAGATGGCCTAGATAGCAGAAGACCACACTGGGTGGCACTCCTGTCGGCTCAGAACGGGAAACTGAGGCTACAATTTGCATAGCATTAACAAAATTGAGTAACAGAAGATTGCTAAAACATTGCCTGGTCTGATGAATCTCAATTGCTGTTGCAACAAGGGTGAGAACTGGGTGTAAACGGCATGAAAACATGGATCCACCCTGCCTTGTGTCAGTGGTTCAGGCTGCTGCAGGTGGTGGTCTGGTGTGGGGAATATTTTCTTGGCACACTTTGGGTCTCTTAGCAACAACTGAGCATTGTTTAAACAACACAGCGTGACAACACCGAGTTTTGCTGCTGTACTCATCTTCTGACGACTGCTAGCATAAAGCGCCATGTCACGAAGCTCAAACTGTCATAAACTGGTTTCACAGTCACCAGATCTCAATCCAATAGAGGACATCTGCCATGTAGTGAAACAGGAGATTCACACCATGGATGCACAGCTGACAAATCTACAGTAACAGTGTGATGCTATCACGTCAACGTGGACCAAAATCTCTGAGGAAAGCTTCCAGCACCTCGTTGAATCTGTGCTACAAAGAATTAAAGCAGTTCTATAAGCAAGCAAGTGGCCAGTGAGTGTATCTTGTTCCAGTTTGGCATCAAATTAAACACTAGAACTGCTGTCACTTTTTAATCTGATCACCATGTTAGCATGTTGACATTAGCAGTGAATTTGAAGCACTGCTGAGCACTGTTATGAGGGAAGTTCCTTTATGTAAGTCGTCACAAATTGCTCACATTATCAATATAGTGCTTTTGTCGATACTTCCTCTTTCTTTCCGATCCTTTAACTGATGTTATTCTTCTGAGCATCCTGTGAAACATTTATCACACTGATTTGTATCCCAAATACCTTTTTTTTTTTTTTTTAGTAACTCACTCACATGACGGCTATATTTGGTGTGGGACATAATTATTTGATCCCCTGATGAATTTGTAAATTTGCTCACAAAGAAATGAACTCTAGTTTTCATGGTAGCTTGATTTTGATTTTGATTTTGATTTTTGGGGGGAGTCACAAGAAATCAACCAAAAATCCTCATTACGGAAAAAGTTATAAACTGAATTTTTGGTTGATGTTCTGTTTCACTCCATTAAAATGAAACAACCATAAAATTAGAGTCTGTTCATTTCTTTGTAAGTGAGCAAACTTACAAATTCAACACAAGATTAAATAATAATTTCCCCCTCTTTAGATGTACACCATGAAGACTCATAATATTTAAGCTCCACTGAAAACAGTGTTTAGTGGAGTTAACTCATCCTCTCTCAGGAAGTGTAGCAACACTTACAGGCCTTTGTTGGTTGTGTGAGGTCAGAGGACTGGCTAGAATAGCCTCACTGACCATGGTGGTGTCATGCTTGTGGCTAGTTTAACTAAACATAATTTACTTTTATTTTAATTTAGATAATGTTTCTAACATTTAAATGGGTGAAAATATTATAGAATTTGCAGTAAAAAGAACTATTAGAAAAAAATAATATTAAAATGACTGCACACCCCTGCATTGGAAATCACTGCGCTCACAAATTGTGACTGCAGTTTGCATTGCAGTCTCTACACAGTGCAGAGGAAAAAAAAGAAATTACCAAGTGAAAAAGAGATTGAATTAAAGTAATTGAAAAGCACGGCGTTCGAAGGAACCTGTCGTTTCAGAATTTCCAGCACAGCACTTTCACACTCGATTACATTCTTCTCAAGGTTGGTAAGGAGTTTGCGACATGCAAGTTTGGATACACTGCAAGGAAGGACGCCGGCTTTGTTTGAAGCAGCCATGATAGGTGCTGATCAAAAACAAACAAACAAAAAAAAAGAATTGTCTATGAGGTCAAGACAAAACTTCACCCGCTTGACCACATGTTTTCTGATAGGACCGTGCAACAAGGCCTATGCAGCACTCTGCATCCTCAGAACGTACAGCGGGCGGGGGTGAGCTTTCACAAATGAGTAATACCGCCTATGTTGTTGTGAATCTTGGAGAGAAGTGGGAAGAAAACTAAAAATAAGCGCTTAGATGAATCTTCAGCATCAGTTCTGGGGAGACAGAGAGGCACAGTTGGATGCAACCTGTTAAACCTGGACTATTTAGAGGGCGTTCACACAATTGATGCTGCTCACTATAGAAACATCCTTTTCATCAGCTTGAGCACAGCAATTAAGACAAAGGAAATTATCTCTCATTCAAATTTAAAATATAGGCTAATTGTTTATCAAGACATTACATAACCACACAGTGACTGGATTTCAATCATGTCCTAATTACAACAATGAAGTATTTTTCTTCCAAGCCATCCATTTTCTTTTAACGTGTCAAAAGCACTGCTGTTGCATAAGGCTTGCTGTACATGTGGAATCTGTATGAGCTGGGGTTTTTTACACTACATTAATGTTTCTTATCCTGCAGAGGAGTTAACCATAAAGTATATCCAAACTTATTTTCTATGATTGTATGTCTACTATTCGTTTAAGATCCTGATACTACTACTATGTAGAGCTATTGATCCAAATATCTTAGCATGAGCACTAATTCTGCCTATTTTAAAATATAAAATGTGTTTTCATGGTCTTTTGAGGGATTAGATACCCCTTAAAACCCTTTCTGCAGTTTGCACAAAAGACTCAACAGCTGCCACTTGAAAACGGTAGGTGAAAGAAAAAGCTACTTTTAATTTACATAATTTATACAGCGGCCGTTTTTTTCAGTTTTCTGCTGTATTAATTGTTATCTTTTAGAGTACACCATACAATCTAACCAATACAGAAATACTAATGATTATGAACTTACTGCAACCCATCATCTCCAGAGGTTACTCCTGTGCATGACCATTAGTATATTTATGCTTTATTTGTCAGATTTTTTTGCTGTTTTGTCTTAAGAAGTGAGACATTTTTAACATTTGAAAAAAGAAAATAACACAGTATTCCACTTTCAAATGGATCCATTTCATTCATTCAGTTGAGTACACTTTGAACCTTAAAGATTAGCTTCGTCTGGTATAAACAACAGTTTATTGTGACCTTATGAACATCCTAGAGTTGCATAATGTGACCTTTGGTTTTATTGCAGGAATGTTTCATTATATTCAAAAAGGCCAGTTAGGTTTTTCCTTATTTTCTGTATGTATGCACTGTTACAATAGAAGACGCTCATATTAGCGTTAAGGATAGGGGTGGCATATTTGCAAGTAATGTCTGTGATCCAAAAGCTCAGGCTTCAACTGATCTAAATGCTCTCTTTCTTACATTTCTGCTACCTTTGGCTCTCTGTGATGTCACCAAGACGATGAACCAAGTATAAGATAAATAGGGATTATTTCTAACACTGAATCATCCAAAGCTTCTCCAGAAGAGTCTTTGAATAAACATATGGAGATGGAAATGAGCATTTAAGCTGCCTTTTTTTAAAGCTCCACATCATAATTCACTGATACACTTTATGGGCCTATCAGGTGTTTTCAGTCCCATTTAGAGTTACAAACCCTCTCTGGCATTAAAACTGTGCACCAGGAGCTTCATGGTTTTTGGTTTTCATGGCTGAGAAGCTCCTGCAGGTGTGACGTGTAGGTGGGCTGGTATTTTGTCCATATATTTTATGTTTTCAGTTCTTTTTTTTGTGCGACACCTGTCTCCACAGGTCTGAAATGCTACTGGAGAAGAAAATCACAACGTTTTTTGACTGTATAGTGGTTGTTGATCAGTGCTCAGTGGAGGGGATGACTTTTTCATTTCATCCAGTGAAGTGTACAATGATAGACCGATGTGTCATAAATTCAGCTTTTTTGTATGTGTTCGAGAACAACAATGGACACAGGGTGCAATTTGTGCTGCACGAACTGTTAAGTGGCCTATTTTGTGTAAAGTGCTGTCCACTGGGCCCGTGTCGCAATCGAGACAGGTCATAAATCAGAATGCATCAAAAGTAGAGTCTTTATTGATGAGTGGGCAAAAGAACCAACTCAGTTAAACTGTACAGTTACAGAATATCATCTCGCGAGGAAATGCCAGACGTAAAAATTATGGACCTCTGTTCACTTTTCACTTTTTCTTTCCATAACAACATCTGTACAAGTTGTAATCCCCAGTTTTGAATCTATGAAATGCAGTGGAAATGCATGCTTAGTACAGTATGCTGTGCAAGTGTCCACATTTTTAAATAAAATTGACTGCACGTGTATATCTATGCCTAACACATCGTAGGTCAGACATTTGTGTCACATGAATTGTAATTTGGAGAGACAATTCATTGTATTCATTGCCAGTTTTCATACACCACACAAATTGGGGGTCGTATACAACCTGAAGATGTTTGGATTTTGAACATACTGTGATCCAGACACTCAAGTGCTGGCTTTAATGTTCGGGGGTGGGGGGGGATATAAGATGGCCCGGTAACATTCAAGTTTCATTCAAATTAAGTGCCACTTCATTTTCTCTTTTTTTTTGTATTCTGGTGAGAGCAAAACAGCACTTTAAAACATTCCCAAGATCGTCATTTGCAAATAAATGTACACTTCCTAATGTTGTTTTTTTTTTTTTTCCAAATAACGTAATATACATCACCATTCAAGTCATTAAATCCTATGGCCTGTTTTCAATGTACAACTGTTGTTTTCTAATTATTCTGTCTCCCTTTTTTTCATTATCCATCTGTATTTCACAATTGCTTGCACATTAGCATTAAAAATCCAGCTTAAAAATCCATTTGAAGGATAAATTTCCATATGATGAGATTGCTCAATTTTCCATGATTTTGAGACCACAAGATGAGGCTGCTTTCATATTGACTCAGTGTTACTGGAACCTTTTCTATCCTCATTATTTCTTTCTGTCTCCTTCCACTTCCCTCTGCATTTTTTTTTCTTTCTGCCTTTTTTTTTTCTTTTTCACACACATACACACAAATGCTCTATAAAAACACACAAACAGGAATATAGATTCCTGTACGGTCTATACAATATGAAATCAAGTCATATTTCAAAATAGTGTCATCTGCTTAACATGTATTGTTTACAAATAAAGGAAAACAGGCAATTTTTTTTTTTATGATACAAAGAAACCTGACACGCCCTAAATCAAGTCCAAAAAAATCAAGCATGTTAGGGGCTTCTGGGATCACAACAGCTATTTAAATGTATCCAAGGTTATTGAGTCCACTTGATATTCTGCAGTCTCTTTTGAATTACATGAAAAGGCGTCCAGGGTGGTCTATCAATCCATTTAGACCCTTTGAGTTCCTTGATGTGTTTCAGAGTTAGTAACGCTCTGATCAACACTTTCTATTCACAGTCCACGGCACATTTCTTCAAGGATTTCAAGCCTCTCTGTGTCTGTTTTGTGCCTTATGTGACACAGAAACGCATTCTCAGCTGAAAGCTCTGGGGCGTGTCCCTCTAAAATAAGGCAACGTTATTTTAAAATGGCATCTGACACACTTAGCTGGAGCGGTGATTGTTGTGATGTTTCCAATTTATTAATTATATAGTCCGTCATCAGCGGTACAAACCCTTAAAGTGTTACCAGGGCGTTTCTACTGCCCTATCCAAACCTTTGCAACTCACACATTTTTTCACATATAAACATTCTTCAGATATCGGCACTGTGCCTGCATTTGTTAGCAAAATTTGGATTTTGTTGTGCAAAACAACAAAACAGACACTGACACTTAAGCAAGGTGCATTGCAACCCTTCTGCTCTCCAAATTCCCCCTTAAAACGTGAAACATCCCCCTCTTTAGGCTCATTTTAATCTCACATGATGCAGTAGGCCTCATCCTGGGGCAGGTGTTGTTTAGTCCTCCAGTAAGTAGGCAGATGAGCTCTCAGCACTTTCCTCAGGTCCTCGTTCAGCAGGAGGCAGAAGATGGGGTTCACTCCAGCCTGGGCGAAGCTCATCCACACTGTGATGGAAAGGTACCTATGAGGGATGGTGCAGGACTTTACGAACACCCTCCAGAAGCACGCCACGATGTACGGTGCCCAGAGGACCAGAAAGAGCAGGGTGATGGTGTAGAACATCCTGCCCAGCCTCCTCTCTGATCGCACCTCCTCCATCCCGAGCAGCCGCCGGTGCTGATTGTGTAAATTTTGCCTGATGCCCAACAGAGTAGGTGGCATGGGACCACGACCGAACCCTGCGATCCAGTTAGCTGCAGCTTGACCTGTGGCCCCGGGACCGTGGAAGGTCCAGTTCTGGCTGATAGCAGGCACCAGCTGGACAGGTTTCATCTTGCGGTGCCTGTATTCAAACAGCAGCAGCTTGGCGTAGAAGCCATGAGTAGCCAGGACCACCACAGCCAGCATGAGCATGAAACCCAGGGTGTCGTTGGTCTTCAGGTAGCGGTGTTCAAAAATGCACTGATCCTCATCACGAATGAACTTATAAGTCCCCACGTCAAAGACGGGTGGGAACGCCATGGCGACTGCCAGAGTCCACACCATGCATATGATGGCAGCACAGGTCCAGATGGTCATGCGTTTGGCGTAAAATCGGTGGTGGGCAATGGCAAGGTAGCGAGTGACAGCCACACAAAACAGCATGAAGGCAGCGTGAAAGCAAAACAGCACAGCCATAAAAGCCACAACTTTACAACTCAAGGCACTGTAAGTCCAGGCCGAGCTGTTGTGGACTGAAACCAGCACGAAGGGGAAGCAGGCAGCAGAGCGAACTGCATCGGCCAGGCACAGGTCCAGAAGAAAGAAATAGGGAGCCTTGTGAAGCGTCCTGTCTCGCAGGACCAGCAGAGAGACCAAGAGGTTGCCTACAAGACTGACACAGATGATCAACCCCAAGAAGACCAGCTTAAAGTAGGCAGACACATCTGTGGCAGAGATTCCTCCATTGTTGTTGCTGCTGTCACTGCTGCTGCCGCCCCTTGCTAGTCCACTCTGAGAGGCCAGCACAGCCAGCAAACTGCCAGGGCCGTCGATGGCAAAGCTCTGGTTAGCCATTCTTTCCCCTTCCACAAGAGCCTGCCTGGTTTGGGCCCCTTTAAAAACAGTACAGATCCTCCTACAGCCGTCGTCTCCCACGGCTCTCTCGTCTTTACAAGGAGAGGCCGAAAGGATCTTTTCTACAAGACAGAATCATCTTTCCTCTTTGTCCACAACCTCGCCACCTGCGAACAGAGACACACACACATTTTGAGGAATGAAAAACAGCACGTCTGACCTGCTCGTTAGGTCGAACACGCTCGCCACTAAATTGAAGCAAAGCTTACATTTAAACACAATGAATATAGAAGTGCTGTGTTGGGCAACACAGTGGAAATATCTGCCTTCCTGTTTCTCTAAGGCTGGGATCAGATCAGCAGCTCTACAGCATGCCAGCTCCTTGGCTCTCTCAGTAATTACCTTGCTCGTTGCTAAGATACAACAGCTCACATACTTTGTGCAAGTGTGGGTGTTTGAGTGAATGCATGGGGGTGTACGGTGGGGGGTGGGGGGTGGGCTGGAGCAGACACAGTACAACCGACACTGGGCATGTCCAACAAACAGGGATGTTGTAAATGAGCAAAGAACATTTTTCTGCTTTCTCTCTGCATGCGTGTATGCGTGACAGTTAAAGAGCAGAGGGTGTAATCAGTATCATTCAAAGCACATAACAAATATAATGGCAGAGCACGGAGCCATTTGGGTTTTTACCGAAGGCCTGTGCGTGTGTGTGTGTGTGTGTGAGAAATGTGTTATGTTACTCAACAGGGTGATAAAACCACTGTTGCCATCACCACGGCCAGACATCAGTGTTGAAGCAAGGAAACGTAAACCTTATTCTGGGAATGAAAAATCAAATATAAACCAAATCTGAGACCTGCAAACTCATTTGTGGGTAGAGGATGATAACAATACTCAGTCGTTCTGCTTGTATGGGTGGGCCTTGTCTATGTAGGCCATGACACCCAATACGATTTGCCATAACTGTAAGCTTGTTTTCTTTTCTTTATTCTTTTTTCAATCATAGCAGCTCTCTGCCACCTTGACAAATATCATTTCACCTGATTAAATGGCTGCCATGGCAGCTAGGCCTGGAACACAGGGTGGAGTGAAAAACACATGAACAGGTGTCAAAATCACCATCATTTTTTTTTATTGTGTGTGTGTGTGGGTGTATGTGTGTGTGTGACTGAGAGAGAGAGAGCGATAAAGAGATGGAAAGAGAGGGAGAGAGCGATAATAACCTACCTTTCATCCCCTCATTTTTGCATCCTTTCTTTCCTCACGGTAAAAAAAAAAAAAAAAACAAAAAAAAAACCCAAAAAAAAAAAAGGGATCCCAGTCGCTTTGCTTCAGTGTTCGTTAAATGGAGAGAAAAGCACATAATAAAGCTGCATGGTCTTGCTGTGTGATCTCAGGCTCAAACAACACCTGTTATGCATAAATCCATCGCGAAGAAAGCGAACTGAGCAACATTTAATAAACATAAGACGGGCAGAGGCTACCTAATAATCAACAGCTGATCAAAAAAATAAAAAATCCAGGATGAGGACTGATGTAAAGCCACATTTAAAAGATATGCATACAAAAAACACTCTCTCACACACACACAAAAAAAAATCCACCGCCACCCTTTTACATTTTCATGGAGAAGAAGGTGCTCATTTGGTGTCTGAATATCATCCGAGAAAACAGATTTTATGTTGCATCACGTCGAGGATGGGTTTCCAGAAGCCTAGAAACACACGCGGTGGAAAAATAACATATCTTGCTCTGTTCATATATCCAAATGATGTCAGATTTTCAATGCTTATAATAACCCACCCACAAACGTTAGAGAGGAAAAAAAGATCGCGCATCCCCTAAATGAATCGTCTTGGCGTTTATATTGACTAGAGGCACCGGGACAATTAGTCCACACAGACAACAGCCGCGATACGTCTCTTTTCCCCATCTTTCGGCGTAAAAGGCGATGTATTTACCCTGAACTGTTATTATGCAGTCTTTGTTTTGCTGTCCAGCGAAGGTGGACTACATCTTAATGGTCCAAAATAAAAGCCTCCGTGACAGAACAAATACATGGTTTTTGGACAAATCCAGCGACGGCACAGAGGGCTTCACATCGCAGACGCTGCCGAAATCAAATGAAAAAATAGGAAAAACAAAAACAAAAACAGCACGGCTGGATTAGGCGAATTATTCCTGAATAATCCCAATTATGGCTGCTTGCAAGGAGGCAGCTCGCACATTCGCGGAAACCGTCGGTTTTATTCGGAGAGAGAGAGAGCGGGAGGGAGAGAGAGAGGGGGGGAGGGAGGCAGGGAGGGAGGGAGAGAGAGGCGGACCTGTGCAGTACTGTGGGCCCAATAACTTGAAAGTGATGTTCTCTGAATGACACGCCAGTTTTGTCCAGTATGGGTGCACTGAGGAGCTCCACCTGTCAACTAGCTACGTCTTACACTGGTGCTCCTGTCCTCGGTGACAAACTGGGTTGACTGGACCACATGGGCCTGACGGGGTCCAAGGAATTCTGCGGGCTCTGGAAGAATATTGGGCCTCCTTTTTGAAAGTGGAAAAACATCTCATTTAAAGTTCTGCAAGAACCTAAAAACATCACCAGAACGAGCACACACAATTGATTCGAGGTGCCTTATATTGTAAGGCAAAAACCCTACAATGATACAAAATAAACA